AATGGTTGGGATGAAGCTATCTTGTTGCTAATAGACTCTAAGTTAATCATTTTCAGACAGTCATCAGGGTGAAAATAATATTGAAGTGCACAGTTGAATTTTGCTACAAAATAAGAAATTCCATAGATCCAAACTAAATATAATTATGATATTACTCCCCTAGCTGGGCACAGCTTTAACATTGTGGTTACTGAGGGACAGACCGAATTAAAGGTTGTAAAAAGGTGAAATGCTTCAGAGGTGAAGTCTAGTACTTAATTCCTGTCATAACACATCACAGATTTATACCATCATGTGATAACTTTGCCCTTATTCCTTTTTCCCTTCTTAGATATAGTCATTTCCTAAGACCACTCCTTTGACTTATAGCTGTTTTCTGTAAATATTTATTTCCTAAGAGAAATTATCTTCTCATAGTTTAACCTATCATCTTGAAATTTATGAGTCTTAAATCTACATGTCTGTCCTTCACTTTGCTCCTAGAATCTAGATTCATATATTCATTTGTCTCTAAAACATTCTCATTGGGATATCTTACTGTGGACCCAAGCTCAGTTTATCCAAAGCAACATTTTCTTTTTCATACCTTCCCAATTGTACCATTTTGGGTATAGGTACCATTATTTTTAGTTTCCAGGCTAAGATTATGGAATCATTCTTTGACTCTTTATACTCCAATATACTATATATTCATTTTGTCATTTTCAAATGTGTTTGATTCACCTGTTTCTAACATTTTCTCTGTCTTCCTAGTGTAAGTCCTTGTAGCTGCTTACCTGAATAGATTCTGGAGCTACTACAGGGCATAAAGCAGATTAGATTACCATTCTCTGGGAGTTTAAAAGCAATCATGACAACTGCTTATTGCCTCCAACATAAAGTTCAACTCTCTTTATCAAATGGAAACCAACTGAAGCAACTGTCTCCATATCCAGATGTTACTTGCTAGATCACTGTGCTATAACCCACATAGCATCATTCCTAATTATGTTTTTACTTGTCTTTCTCTCTTACTACACTGAGTTACAGGAGATGGAGATAGTAAGTTTATTTTTGTATCACATTGCCTAGCACAATACCTGTCATGAATCTTTGTTCAACAGATGGATGAAAGAACACTGTAGATACTTTCATATACTTTGTCATTTAATTCAATGATCTTGTAAAGTGGAGGGAAATCTCTAACTTTTGAAACCTCTAACTTTAAAAATATCCCATTATTATCCTTAATTTGCTTGTCCAAACTTCGTCTTTCTACTTTTTTATGTAAATCCAGTCAGATCTCTTTACTATCTCCTCAATACCCCATCTACGTTCTTACCTGTTCTTTGAATGCTTCTTTCCTTCCTTCTGTCATAGTCTAATATGTTTGCCTTCTTTCTGAAACCCTCCCATCTAACTCATATTGAAATGTTGCTTGACAACTGTATAATTCACAGTATGTTATATTGATCAGCATTATTCATTTTTATCTATACCATCATATTCATTCACTGTTTAATGTGAAGACTGTCTGATCTCCCCAACTTGACTGGGAACTTTGTGTAATTGGCTCTGTTTTTTTCTTGTTGTCTATGAGAGTGTTGGAACTCCAATATTAAAGGTTAGCACTTTCTCCAAACATAACAATTCTGTACATATAATAGCACAGATTACTATTAAACAAGAGGCAGTTGTGTATCCATCCTTGTTATTGATATTTTTATTATCTTTAAATATTACTGTAATTACAGTATTAAAATTACATGACTGACCGGTTGTGGTGGTGGCTCATGCCTGTAATCCTGGAACTTTTGGAGGCTGAGGCGGAAGGATCACCAGAGGCCAGGAGTTCCAGACCAGCCTGAGCAACATAGCAAGACCCCATCTCTACAAAAAATAGAAAAATTAGCTGGGTATGGTGGCCTGTAATCCCAGCTTCTTGGGAGGCTGAGGTGGGAGTATTGCCTGCGCCCAGGAGTTTGAGATTGCAGTGAGCTATGATGACACCACTGCCCTCTGACCCTGGCAACAGAGCAAGACCTTGTCTCCAAAAAAAAAAAATTATACGACTGAATTCAGGCTAGTTAGATAATCAGTCAAACACCTAAAAAAAGGAAATTTCAAATCGTTGGAATTTTATAAAAAATATAGGTGGGCCATTTCTTTAATCCATGTCTGACAATATTAGTAAATTAACTATGTATATTTTGTAATAACTTCTCTTAGGCTAATTGTTTTAGTCTTCTGTATTTCATAATGGATAAAAAATGAAAAAGTTTTCTTGGAAGAAATAGTGTACTTTGAAAAACTCACTAGTAACTACCATATTTAAGTGTTTATATGTTTAAAACAGTTTATATGTTTATATGTTTAAAACAGTTTCATATTGCATAAAGATTATTTATCTAGACTAGTTGTTTTGTCCATAAGCAAATATTGCATGTTAAGGAGAAGAAAATGTAGATTTCTATAAATCTCACTTTTTCCTGCTTACATTGACATCATTTATTTTATCATTAGAAAAAGAGATAATAAAAGCCACCAAAATGTTTTTTTATATTACTATAATTAGGAGACAGAGTATTTTTCTCACAGCCTACCAATTCTTCCCTTGTTACTGTCTTCCTTTGTAATTCTTGTATATTCATTTCTTTTCTCTAACTCTATTTGATCAACTTTTCCATTTATTTATTTATTTTACATACTCTAAGCTTATTCTAGAATAGTTTTAAGATGAATTCATGCTCTTTTTATTGGTCCCAATTACTTTAATCTCCTATTGTCCCCACATCCTACCCACCTATATAAATGTGATTTGTTCTTTGTTTTCCTAAATGACTCTTTCCTCAGCAATTAGAAATGTATTGGCTTAGTTGAGTGTGGTGGCACACACCTGTAGTCCCAGCTACTCAGGAAGCTGAGGCAGGAGGATCACTTGAGTCCAGAAGTTCTGGGCTGTAGTGCATGCCGATTGGGTGTCCACACTAAGTTTGACATCAATATGGTGACCTCCTGGGAGCAGGGTACCACCAGGTTACCTAGTAAGGGTGAACCGGCACAAGTCAGAAACAGAGCAGGTCAAAATTCCCCTGCCAATCAGTAGTGGGATTGTGCCTGTGAATAGCCACTGCACTCCATTCTGGGCAGCATAGCAAGACCCTGTCTTTTATGAAAAAAATATATTGGCTTGATGATGTGGTGAGCCATCTGTAGAATTGACCAGTACCTCCATAATTCTTTCCACTTGTAACTTAACTTTTCTGTCCAAGCAAAGCAAGCTGTTGATTTTTTCTTAAGCATCTCATTGCAAGTTTTTGAAATATATTCCAAAAATTTAGACCTATCACAGAAAGTTGTTAAATTTCTAAGTCTTAAATTCTTACATCACCAGCAAATTACTTTTATTCATATTTTGTGATTAAAATAAAATTTACTTTAATGTTACGTTTAATGTCGAAGGTAGAGTTTTACTTGCATTTATGAGTCAGATCTCAATGTACCTAACATTTTTATTTTCAATGTCTAGTTGTTGAATAGCTTTCTATGTTAGGTGTTATGTCCATTGTTGTTCTTGATTTCTAATGGTTATGAATGTGTACAATATAATGGCCTCATGCAGGTTAACTTTCTTATACTTCTACTGACTTTTAAAAAAATCTGGCTTAGGAAATGGGAAGAGATAAACCAGAATTACTCAGAATGTTTTTTTCAAAACCACTAGGGATTCTATTAATAATAGCTTGCTCTCTTTGCCATCCCTTCTTGGAAATCCATGGCTACAGTGAGTCAGTATTACTGAAGGAATTTGAGATAGCCCTCAGGTGTGTTAGTTTGTCTTAGTATTCAAAAAGAAATTAGCTTGTATAGTACTCATTTTTTTTTAAAGTTTTCAGAACTATTCATGGAAAAATTATTCACAAGTATTCATTTGTCTAATTTAACACCTTAGGAAAATAAATCATTTTATTACTAGACACAATACTTATTTAAAATTTGAAAATCTAGTAACAATTATTAATAGACAAAGTACACATTTGAAACGGCAAATTTCAAATGTGTGTTTTGTCTAGTAATAAAATGATTTATTCTTCTCCAAAAGCGTTAAATTGGACATACTTAAATTAGAGAAGTCGTTGGTTATTAGGAAAACAATCCTGAAAATGGTGTCCATTTCTTTAAGAAAATATTCAAATCTTAAGAAGCACATCCTAAAATTAACACAAAAGAGAAATTCTTAAATAAACATTATGTATTTTCAGAGTCTTCACTCTTACGTACTTTTGTCTTAGATAACCTTCACAAAATGTATCCTTTTTATAACCAGTACCCTGAAAGTTGCCAGGTTTCACTTGTCTACTTTCTGGTCTGCTTTCAGTGTAGGTCCCTTCTTTTCTTCTCTCTTTACTCTTGAATTAATCCTCTACCTACTTCACAGGCCGATTCTTTGATGAGAATGAATCCCCTGTTGATCCGCAGCATGGCTCTAAACTGGCGGATTATAATGGGGATGATGGTAACGTAGGTGAGTATGAGGCAGACAAGCAGGCTGAGCTGGCTTACAATGAGGAAGAAGATGGTGATGGTGGAGAGGAAGACGTCCAAGGTGAGCGTGGGCCTGGCCTCCATGCTGTGACCGTGAAACTCACCTCTAAGTTTTTTGGTTGAATTTGTGTAGAATTTCCCCACTTATTAGTAGTAAAATCTTACTATCAATACAAAGAGGTTCTGTGTAGTTTTTCAGTTTTATTTTGAAAAGTATTTTATGATAGTAGTATTTATAGACCTGTAAGTAAATTATTTTAAGTTTTAAAATTTTTGGTTATCGTCTTATGTGTATTATTGATGCAGTTACAATTTGAAACTCAGAATCTTCAGAAATTTTAGAATTAAATTGTTTAAAATAGTTCTAGACTTTTCTTAAGGCAATTGCTTCCAGAAAATAATTCTTTTCCAATTTCTCATTTGAAAATACTTCATTATTCT